CGTAATGTACAAATCACCAAGAAGGGATCCAATATTGGTGGTGGGGATCTCAATCCAACACCACAGTATCATAAAAGTTCCCAAGACCTGAATCACTACGATAGAGTAACACTGGACTTTAAGAATCTGACGGTAAATATCACATTAACAAATAGTTTTCATACTACCTGTGTCGTGATCCTTTTGTTCCCATCTATCATTTAATCATCTTCTTTACACCTATTCATTCTCATGCATCTCATGCCTCCTTTCACTTCACAAATTTGTTTTTGACTGTATCTGCAGGTCAGTTCTGGATYGAGTGAAAACAGCAAAATTGAGATTGAATTTGACATTGACCTCAATGATCATCCTTTACTTGCCAATGGCTCTAAGCTTTGGATTGGATGTGGGCTAAGCAGTGCATCAAGCATGTTAGCTGTAGTCCAAACAGCTGTATACGTTAAAAAGGTACTGTAAGCTTTGCCTATCTGTGCAACTCAAATCATGGGAGATGACAGAATTATGAGGACATAAAAAGAAGGGTTGATAAAGGGAAAAAAATATTTAAAAAAATGAAAAAAGAGAAGAAAAAAAGCAAATAAATCTAAAAAGAAAGAAAGACATAAAACCGGATTGTTTCAAATAGAAGACATCGAAGAACCCCCAAAAACAAAACACAAAAAATTAATAATTATTCGGTTATTCTGCAAATAATGAAAGAAAAGGGTCGCGGACCACTACGCCAGAACGAAGCCTGATCGAGACAACAAAAACAAGAATTGTAGGATTATTGTCAAACAATGCCTATTGTTCTACTGGACATCTTGGTTTTTTGTATTGTCTGTCTCTCTTTGTTGTTATTTGGCATCAAATCACAATCTTTGTTCTAACAGTAGTGGACAACTCAGCAAAAAATGCGAAACAAATTACGTGAAAATARAAGAAGTATACTATATATTTATCTATATTCATTGATTTCTGTTGTAACTAGATTGAACCAACTGTCTCCTGCACSGTCACCCCCAAAAATAATACCATCCAAAACCGWTACTCCATCGATGACCRCCTCGTGATTGACTTTGAATGCAGTCACACTAACACATCCACCGCCAATGCCAAAAACATCAATCTAGAATTCTGGAGTGTCTTCTTGGATTTTTTGAGTGCGACTTATACTGTCGACTCCGGTAGCTCAAAAGCAGCARCTAAAWTCAATGATACAAGGTTGGATRCTATCACCGAGGYTCCCTTCAATCAAGGTAAAATAACAATAAAGAAAAATCTCGCCATCAATATTCTTGAATATTCATGTATCTTTTCAAACATTGATGCAAAACATTGTTATTCCAGTGAGTCTTGATAGGGACAAACGTTTTCCATGACGAGTAGGTCAATCAATCTCTCTATTAAACAGGTCAAGTGATCAAAGGAGAAATCCACGTGAAGGTTAGACATGACATGTATCCCTTGGCTGAAATGAACTTGTTTGTGCGCGTTTCCTACCAGAACCTAGCAGGAAAAGACAAGATGAAGACAGTTCATAAAATGAAGCAGCCTCCGATTGGTTCAGTCCCTGTCATCAGCCTCAACATCACTAATCCAAAAAGTTGCTACCACGTTGGCTCTACCGTTGAAATGGATTTTAAAATTTTGATGAGGAAGATTAATTCTCCTCTTAAGGTTGAGGTTAGTTGATACTRTAACTGGGAGATCAACGCTCTAACGCGCTCTAAAGAGGGCTTAGAGTGATCTGGAGCGTYCATTTTTATTGCAGGGAAATGGGGCGTTGTGTTTTCCTTTGTAGATTTTTCCAAAAAAATTGACCTACCTCTCTCTTTTATTGTCAATATTAAAGAGGCCCACCTTACTTAATGAAATTGAATAAACCCGTAGCAACAGTGATGAACGACTGATTTATATAATTGAAGAGACTCACCAGCTTAAAATTTAAAGACTGAATAATGTTTAGACCCAGTTGTCAAGTTCCCATCTTTTGGCAGCTTGTTGCTCCTGATTTACAAGGCTAAATGGTGAATAGACCAACAGAGGATGCAGTCAACACCCCTTGTCTTTTTTGTGTGTGAATCTATTCTGAAGAAATGAACAATAAAATAATAAAAAAAGCACACCCCTTATTAAATTATTTTGGTTTTTAAGTATCAGTTCTGTCAACTGGTGTCAAGGATTTCTTGCAAGATTGCAAGATTCTCTTAAGATTGATTGCATTAATGTTTTTAGTGCTCTATATGTAAACTTTTATGCATCGTTAAAGAAGATGTTTTATTACTTTGTAGATTATTTCTCCAGTGAATTCATCATCTCCAGTGATGGCAATCAAGTCAGTCTCTTCGCCAGTAGTTGGTTCAAACATCGTTAATAATGGCCCCCTTCAAAAGACACCGATCAACTGCAAATCAACAGTCAATGACACGTCTTTAAACGACCGTTGTTCTTTGGATTTTGGTAGCGTTAAGAGCACCGTTGGAATAGTCGACAGTCCACTAAATGAGCTCTCCATTAAATTCAATATCATCTTAAATGACCATCAGATTATGACAAATGGCTCAAAGCACTGGCAAGCGGTAGGCGTTCGTGGGGGATCCCGTATGATGTGGATAGGAGAGGTAGCTATCAAAGTGTGTTCGTCCGCTGAACCTAAACCTGTTTTGAAAATAGAATCGAATTGTTATATCCCTGGTACCTCGGAGACATGCTGTGCAGGCAAACTGAAGAAAAAGTAAGTAAAACAGGCACACTTCGTCACGTGTTGAAATCAAGGATTGCATGCATGTTTAGTTTTCTAAAACAAAACTTTGCTGTTATTGGTCTTTGTCATRAAAAAATGTAATAATATATAACAATTAGTCAGTGTCAATGCAGAGACGCCATTTCCTTAGAACAATGCTTGACGGGATATATACTACAGACTCGTCACCCCTCTMTCCTTCCCATCATCCTTAAATCGTGTAAGAGGAAAAAAAACAACAACTGGGAGCGAGTATCTTTTTTGCTTTCTTTTCAAAATTGCAAGGATCTGCCTCCATTGTTTCTGTAAAGAAAATTTTCAAACGGATATTGGGATCGCTTTACTGAGGACAATTAACGCATTGTGTCCTAACGAAATGCTTTATTCGCTTTTTATTCATCACTATCATGTCTCCATTTCAGCGATAAAGTGCAGTTTAATATAACCGTGTCACATGATAATATAACGTCGGAGCAGTATGCCAAAAACATCAAGGTTATCCACATGCTTCCCCGATATGTTGTGTATGAGAGTACGATATTCAAGCATCCAAGTAGTTTTGTATTTGCAAATTCTATTGTACCTCAACTCACGGTAAGTGAAGATGTTGGCAAGGAATTGAACTTYAGGTCTACAGACCTGGATTCGAGTCCTAGATCATTTTGATATTTGCACCGGAGGTACGTGATCAAGCCCCTCCTCTATCATTATTTTATTCAACCTCAATGTGACAGTTTGCCTATAGGAAAATTTATACAAACTTTTATCTCTGCCCGGGGGGATGGGTTGGGGGGTACTCCCCTATATTCGCTATAAGGGGACGTGCCGCCAACCAGGGTATCGTTTTCAGCGATTTTACTTTGGAACTGGGTATCCTTTTTAGTGATTTTACTCTGGAACAGGGTATCGATTTCAACGAATTTTCTCTGGAACAGGGTCAGGGTTTAATTCCGGAATAATTGATGCTGGGTAAAAATTCACGGGGTAAAAATCCGGTCTACATGCAAGCTAGTACAAGATTTTCTCTGGAACAGGATATCGTTTTCAGAGATTTCACTCTGGAACAGGATCAGGGTTTTGACGTCGCCGCGGCACACCCCCACCCAAGTTTGGGGGGAGAAACCCCCCCCCCCCGGTATCTCTGCCAAAGTAACGTGGTTATTAATGAATAAGTTGGTTGTTTTCTAAGGATTCCGAACCATTCCGTTTTCTGGACCAGCTTACATTCTCTTACATTGCCAAGCTTGACCCTGAAGATTTGATGAAATTAGAAGGAAATACTCAAGCAACGTCCTTCGCTGATGTAAGCTACGTCGGCCATGATACAAACAAGTTTTTCAGCACAAGCACCGAGGTCTGTGCTTCCTTTACCATTCCTCCAGGTACTTAATGCTGAATAATCAAGAAACTGAATTTCCCCAGTTTTTTGACATTGGATCGTGAGATGTGGGGCTGGTTTTATACAAAGGTTCAATAAATTCTTACCAAGCGCAAAAAAAATCCATTAAAGTTTATCCGGTGTCGGATAACGCGTTATTCATCCTTCGTACGACCGACCCCTGTATTGACGATTAGGCAATGCTTTTGTTTAGTTACAAAAAAAAGACCGAGTGCCAATCATATGATCCAACGAATYGAATTTTTTTATTTAAGGTTCTTCGTCTGGAAAGCCTTCTCTTGAGTCATCTCCTGTTCATGGTAAGTTTTTAACGGAGCCAACTGAAGTGAGACGATTTTTTTGCCAATTTTGTTTTTCAAATTTGTTTATGCTTTACTATAGCAAACGTTTATCC